TCCACCAGCCTGGAGCCACGTCACTTCTCTTCACACGGCCCATCGGAGCCTGATGTGACATGTGCGCTGCGCCTCGCGTCTGGCTTGCCTGCTTTTCTCAAATGCTCGTAGGTGCTGCGCTCACAACACTGTGCTCTCACAAGTATGGTGCGGTTTTGCATGCTCCAACACTGCAGCTTCAATCCTCGCCTGCAGCTTTCACAGGCGCGGACGGTGGGTCCTCAGTGCCCCCCCACCCAAGCTGAAGCAACCCCTCTCTTTGTGGGACATAGAAAGGGGGGGAAAGGAGTGCAATTGAAAGATAAAATGGCAAAAAAGCACACTCACACACTCACACACTCACACACTCACACACACACACTCACACACTCACACACACACACACACACACACACACACACACACACACCCACACACCCACACACCCACACACCCACACACCCACACACCCACACACCCACACACCCACACACCCCCACACCCACACCCACACCCACATCCACACCACACACACACACACACACATACACAACACACACACACACACAAACCACTAACTCTTGCGGGGGGGCCTCGTTTGCTGCCACGTCTCCTTTTTTTGTTCCGCACATCGAGGACTCTGAGGAGAGGGACGCGACTCTCTCACGTTTGAGAGGAACTCTCTCTGCATATTTATATATGTACACATCACTGAAGAAAAAGGAACTGCCTGTCTAGATATACAAATAATATATTTATCATATCAAATCATATCCCGTCATGCAACAGAATCTGAGATATATATATATATATATATATATATGTCTCTCTCTCTCTCTCTCTCTCTGTGTTTCAGAAATTTCGGGGAAGGAGAGAGAGTCTCTGCAAACGAGAGAGGCATGCCTGGCCTCGGGAGGCAGCTTGTTGCCGGCTCCCTCTCCGGCCCTGCTCCGGGATGAGTCGGTTTGCCCTCTCAGTGGGCTCTAGGCTCTAAGCTACCAACTTCGCCTATGTCTCAGAGGCCCGGAGCTGCTTTCAGCACTGGGTACGATCAGCCCTTCACTGCCTTCACTCCATTTCACTCCTTCACCCTCAGCTGCTTAGAAAGCTTCGGGACATCTCGCCACCATTTCACCGTCGCGGCCGTGCACGTGCGAATGGAGATGTGAATCCCTGGCGGTCTGGCGCACTGCCGTGCCCGCAACACACCCGGGAAATCCAAATGCAAGGCAGAGTTGGCTCCACAGTTGGCTCCACTCACGCACAAGGGTAGTCACAACAGGGCCTCACTAGGGCACACTCAGCTGCGCCCTCGTGCCTTCTCCATCTCCGGCCTCTTGCCTTTGCCCTTTCCTGTCTCGCTTTCCTGTTTGCTACTGAGATTGTGTAGATCTTCTTCAGCAGCACCATATCACACCGCAAGCACACATTCGAAGAAGCACCCTCCGGCAACGTGCCTCCTGCGCCGGTTTCTCGCCAAGCCTCAGCTCTGTCACTCTGTGAGCTCTGTGAGCTCTGTGAGCTCTGTGAGCTCTGTGAGCTCTGTGAGCTCTGTGAGCTCTGTGAGCTCTGTGAGCTCTGAAGCCAAACAAGTGCAAAATCTGCTCAGGAGGGTGCCAAAGCATTCTTGCTCGGTCCTGCGCGTTCCGTTGCTTCTCTTTCTCCCCCTGCAACAAAGGTGCGGAGAGCGCCAATTCTCCAAAAGATGTGCCCAACACGGTGAGAGCTCAAACACCTGCCTTTTGCAAACCTATTTTCATTACATTTTTCAACTCGAATCCTCATCTCTGGAAGTACCATGAATCACTTCACACCTAAAGGCATCTGACTGAAATGGCTGAGGCTCGCGCTGCTGTCCAGGTGTTCAGGAAGGGTCCCGGCTGCGCCTCACTGCAAAAGAGGAACACAAAAAAAGGGCTGCACGCAGCCTGGTGGACCTCCGAGAACTTGAAAAACAAGAACACAGCAGAGCAGAGATCCCTTTCCCTCCCCTTCTCCCTTTACCCTTTAGCTCAACGCCGTTTCTCTCCCTCCCTCTCTCCCTTTCTCCCTCCCCTCAAGGCTTTTGCGGCTCTCTCCTCCTTCTGCTCAGCGGAACCACAAGGCGCAGTCCCCCAGCCACGGTGGTTGTTGCGACCATTCGGTTTTCAACGGTCTTCTCCTTCGTCTTCTTTTGCTTCTGCTTGTGCTTCTTCTTCATTTTGAATCAATTCTGAATGTTCAACTTCTACTTCTTCTTCTTCTTCTTCTTCTTCTTCTTCTTCTTCTTCTTCTTCTTCTTCTTCTTCTTCTTCTTCTTCTTCTTCTTCTTCTTCTTCTTCTTCTTCTTCTTCTTCTTCTTCTTCTTCTTCTTCTTCTTCTTCTTCTTCTTCTTCTTCTTCTTCTTCTTCTTCTTCTTCTTCTTCTTCTTCTTATCCTTCTTCTTCAGGGATCGAGGGTCAGGAGCCCCCTCTTCGCCAGCGCGCGCCCACGTTCGTGGTCGGTCCGCATCAGAAGCGCACGGTTCCCTCTCCCCTCTATCTCTTACCTCGTCTTCGTCTTCCTCTCCATGAGGGGTCCCCAAAGGTTCCCCCCACGCCCCGAGCGCGCCCCGAGTCCACGTTTGCTGCAAAAAATTGGGAGGTTTTGCAACACAAACCATCACAACGACTAGTTCCCCCGTCCCATTGGCTCCCTCTTTGTCTTTCTTTGGGACAAGGGGAAAGTCCAAAGACCAGCTTACCCTTCTTCCTTACCCCCTTCTGGCTCCCTCTCTCTCTCTCTCTCTCTTTCCGTCTCTCTTTCCGTCTCTCGCTGAGGCTCTCTCTCGCTCAGGCTCTCCTTTTCTCTCCAAACTTCTTGGACGCCCCTCTCGTCTTGTGCTCAGGCACCGACAACGCCTCGGCCTTGCCGGCCTGTGCCTTGCCGGGCTTGCCTCGCCGATGTCAACATGAGCATCCAACTCTACCTTCGAATGTGCATCTGCCAACAGACCTTTCCCATATGTATTTGGAAGAAATCTCATTCTTGAATGTAGCGGAGGTTCTGTGAGCTTCTCACATTCTATCAGGGTCTCTCTGCGGGCCTGTGCACAAAGTTCTGAAGCACTGGTGGTTGTGTTTAATGCGTGAGTCTCCGCGTTAGGGCCGCTGGCGGCTCCGTTTTCAGATGTGTGGTCTGTTCCCATTTCCGTTTGTACATGCCTGATATTCAGACATCAGGTCTTCCTTGTTGTGCCCCCTCCTGGTTGACAGCTCTGCTTTCCTCCTGACAAATGAAGATGCGGTTTTACCACGGTCCTGGTTGATGGGCTGGCTAAGCATTCTTGGGTTTGCGAAGTTCTCGTTCAACCTCAATCCTGGCTGAAGTATAGGTTTGGCTTTGCCTTGACAGTTTGAAGCTTTCTTGGGTCCTCATGGTCTGTCCTTGGCTCTCGAAGCTGTTGTTTGCTGTGCAGCTGTTCCTACATTACCTACAGCCTGTTTGATGGGTTTTGGGTCGTGGCTGTTGGGAGCCTAAGCGCTTTACACGCAACCCTGGTGTTGGCTGGACAAAAAAAACGGAAAGCAACGTCGTCCAGCAACAGGAGTGGGCCAACTTTGCATTCGCCGAACAGTTCATTCTTCTGCTGTTAGAGGCGATTCCCGGCGAAAAAGCGCAGGCAAGCATCTTTGCGTTGGGTACTTGGGGCCTTCTCCCCAGCCCCTTGTTGGGCACTTCTCTGAATTAAGGTCCCTTGTTTGGTCCCCTGCAAAGAACGGCACCCTTAAAAGGAGGACCCCAAGAGAGACCCTAATCTGGAGGACTACCGCTTCTGGTTAGCAGGTTTGGCTTCCTGATTCTGAAACTCTTGTTCTGTGGTACCCTCGTTTTGGTTGACAGATCGATTGTTCAACCCGGTTGACGGATCTAGCTTTTCATTGTTTCTGGAAGTACTTGTGGTTACTCAGGTTTCAAGGTCTTTTGATCCATCGCTCATTAAGCAATTCCGCTTGGTTCGCCAGGTGTGCAGAGGTTTTGCGGAAGAAAGCAACACAGCAGCTCACAGTAGGTAGCTTGAACGACGGACTACTGTGGGAGGCTCCGCCTCTCCGATTCCTCCGGCATGGGACCTGGCAAATTTCCACTTGGAGCAAATGCAGACAGGAGACATATGATACAAACCAGCATAGACTGTAGACTGTGCATAAACAGCATGTTGACAAACAGAACACGATGGGCCGAGGGCCTGCAGGGCGTTCTGGACCGAAAGCTTTCGCCCTCAGCTTTCGGCGCTGGGAAGCTTCGCGCGCTTTTTGCATCTCTTGCTATGCATATGTAGCATATGTATTGCAACGAATCAAACTTGGGGGTCTTGAAGAGTCTTGAGGCTCCCGGCGGCTTCTGCGGGCCGAACACCTCTGAATACGGGTCACATCCCCTTCTCGTGGCCCTCTGCAGACTCTGCAAACTCTCAAACTGCACTCCCGTGCACCCCCGCCTTCTGCTGGGATTGCTTCGAGGACTTCGAGGACTTCGAGGACTTCGAGGACTCGGAGCGCAAGCCCTGGCATCGAAGCGCGCGAATCGACTCAACCATTCGGCACCCTCCCCGACTCTTGTACATGCCTCGGGGGTTTTGGAGTCCAGGCTAGACGAGCTCGAGGGTGACCTGTCGCAGGTAAAGCTATCCACAGAACCCCTGCTTTCTCTGCGGCGGATCTCACGCAGTTCCGAGCTTTGGGCGGCGTGCGTGCGCGCTTGCGGCCCTTGCGGCCCTTTCGACTGGCACTGCCTGCTCCGCATCTATTTGTGACATCGCGCGTTGCAGCATGCGGCATATGCGGCATATGGCATGTGTCATATGGCATGGGGCCGTCACGTTTGCGGCTTTGGCTTTGGCTTCGGGCCCTGGCGAGCTGTGAACTCTTGCAGCGACCCCGGACTGAGCTGCGTGTTGAGGGGGCAGGCGATCAAGAGAGAGAGAGAGAGAGGGAGAGAGAGATGTTTTGCAGCGCGCAGTGCGAGAGAGGTGGGAAGTCAGAGGTCACCCAGACGTTCTC